ACTTTAAGATCAACTAGATTTTGCAAAATATATCTTAATAAAGAATTGCGCCCTATTATGTCCTATAGCAACCACACAATTCTCTCAATAAATAAACCAAATTACTTTATCCATATATCCTTATAAGAGGCAATTAAAAATTGAGAGAGTACAAATTATTTCCCTCTAGCATCATTATGCATAAGAAATCCTAAAACACCTGATTCATGACAGGAGGGTAGGGCTCAAACACACTAATTTGGAAGTATTCAAATAATGGGAAATTCTCACTAAAGTTGGGCATGTAATTTCCCCTTGCCTCGTAGACTCAAATGGAATAAAAACAAAAAAGTGAAAGCTCATTTCGAAACTTCCAATTCCAAAATATGTATAATAATCTGGTTTGATTGACTTATAGTTTCAAATAATTTTTTCTTCTTGTTTGATTGATAGATTAATTAGAATTTAAACATTAATATGCGGACACATAATATTACAAACTAAAGAAGAGGTCATCCCTTCAAACATTGATGTTATCAAGATTACTTTAGAACTAAAAATATCTATATAAGACTAGACTACTGAATCAATCCAATGAATTAAAACTATTTAATTAAGTAGTTCAAATTCAATAAAAATAGTTTAACTATTAATAACTTTAGTAATGCGACAATCGTAAAAGGTGTTATACCAATGATTGTCATTAAGAATCAAATCTATAATTTCTATATTATTAATGATAAATCAAAATTTTACATATATATAAAAAAGCAACAAATACATATATTTGTTGGGTAATTATCCTAAAAATACTATGGTGCTCCATCAATTGTTAAAAAACTTGGAACTATATTTATCAATTAATATTTGTGATATGATGTAGTCTCACTTGGTTTAGGTTCTATATTAACTTTTATGATTTAGTTCTTCTTTTTTTTTTTAAAAAAAAAAAACACTTTTTTTTTTAAAAAAAATTCCTACTGGTTGAAAAAAAAAACATCCTTTTTTCTTAAAACCCTAGGGATCTAAGCACTTCGAGTTTCGTCAGGTGGGCATGCTTGTTATTTTCGCTGCTCTCATTTCCTCATCAACTTCCATTGGTCACCATTTCTCCGCCCGCTTCAGGTTGCGTCACTTACAAGCCATCTCTTCCTCCGTTAATTCCCACTCTGCTCCAATGGCTACAGCCGAGGAATCTCTTCGCAAGGCCTTGGCCGAGAAGCAATCAGCTGTCGAAGCTCAGGGCAACGCTGTCCGTGCAATGAAAGTAGCTGGTGCTTCCAAGCCAGAAATCGATGCCGCAATCGACGCCCTCAACGGATTGAAGCTCGAGAAGACGTCCATCGAGAAGCAGCTACAAGCTGCCATTAGCGGTGCCGCCGGTGATGGCTCCCTTAACAGGGAGGCGTTCCGCCAAGCCGTCGTCAATACCCTAGAGCGGCGTTTGTTCTACATTCCATCGTTCAAGATTTACAGAGGTGTCGCCGGGCTTTACGATTACGGGCCTCCAGGCTGCTCCGTTAAGTCCAATGTGCTTGCTTTCTGGCGTCAGGTACGGTCACTATATCTGTTTTGGTGTCCTGTATTGCTAGTTCGTTCTCTAAATGTTTAAGAATGATGATAATTGTTAGCATGTTTTAGAGAGAAGATTCAAAACTGGAAGTTGTAGTTCTTAGTTATTAGGATTGCCCTTTGGAGTTGGAGATTTGAAATTAGAAGTCAATTGGAATTTGAGAAGCCCGTTCGTATAGATCGGCTGAGGAAGGGACCCCTTCCATATCAAATGCCAGTTCTATAATTCAGGTTCAAAATAGTATGGGATAATAATCCTAGTTAGCTGTTTGAACTTGTTTTTTTCCCCTTTTTGTTAGCATTTTGTTCTTGAAGAGAACATGTTGGAGGTTGATTGTCCGTGTGTGACACCCGAGGTCGTCCTTAAGGCATCTGGCCATGTGGATAAATTCACTGACCTTATGGTTAAAGATGAGACAACTGGGACCTGCTATCGAGCAGATCACTTGCTCAAGGATTATTGCAATGAGAAACTTCAGAAAGATCTGAGCATATCTGCAGAGAACGCTGCGGAACTGAAGCATGTACTTGCCATCCTGATGATCTCTCTGCTGAGAGCTTGTTCAAAATTAACGAATATGGCATTGCAGCACAGA